TACAGAGGACATGTCTATTAGGATAGATTGATGCAATGTCAAGCTTTGATGAATTGCATCTGTCTGTTTTGTTGCATCAAGAAGCAAATCCGGGAAGGGGGGAAGGGAGGGTTCATTCCTCTAATTATTTATACAGATGATTTAGTACTAACAAATAAGGTATGTGTGCACAATCTCTCTCACACTCAAGGAACAGAAATGTCTTGTTACATAGGAAATACTGTTTCAGCTACTACTTATTTTTCTTCCAAACATTTTTCCGGCAAGTGCTTAGTCTACTTTTTTCAGATCAATTAAGTGTTGACCAATTGATTGTAATAGGAATTGACCAACTAGCTTATCACCCAAGCCGGACGTTGCAAGCTGAGGGACTATGAGTGATCCAAAGTCACCCAACCAGTTTTCATGTCTAAGACAGGGCTAGATCTCTTGGTTTCTAGCCTGGAGCCTTAACCACTGCACCGAACTGGCTCTCTTTCAGCTACTAGATTAAAGACAGTAATTCGCTCAGTGGAGGCGAACGCTAGACAGGAACTTGATTTGCAGAAGAAATGATGCACCCAAAACACCTTAAATAAAGGAATTATTTGAGGAATTATGATATTTAGATTGTGCGTGAATGTGCATCTTAAACTAAGCAGGAGCATGTTAAACTAAGCAGCATTTTCGCTGGGATCATTCAGCAATCACAGAGAGCAGTCACACAAATCCAGGGGGGAAAAGGACTGTAATTGGTATAAGCTATTTCTGACAGACACTAAATAAAACACATACACATCATCTTTTCCCAGTGAAACCCAGACTGTTCCACAGGCTTAACAGATATATTTTGCACATATAAGTCTTGAACATCATGCTGTTTATGGCTGGCATGGGAGATTTAAAAAAAAAAAGAATATAATGGATTAATGGCTATGCATTATATTATGTGTATGATGGGTGGGGTGGGAATGACTTGAATTTTATGTTACTATGAAAAGATTCTTTCAAGCAAAGTATATTAAGCTTGAAAAAGCATACACGACAAGCTAGCCAGTCAGTTCCGAAAAGTAATTAGGATCCATCATTTGAAGAAAATAGCAATAGCAATGGCAGTTAGACTTATATACCGCTTCATAGTTCTTTTACAGTCCTCTCTAAGGAGTTTAGAGTCAGCATATTGCCCTCAACAATCTGAATCCTCATTTTACCCACCTCGGAACGATGGAAGGCTGAGTCAACCTTGAACCGGTGAGATTTGAACTGCCGAACTGCAGCTAGCAGTCAGCTGAAGTAGCCTGCAGTACTGCACTCTAACCACTGAACCACCTCGGCTCTTATATGGAAGGAATTAAAAAATTAAAAAATTGTGAATTGTAACAGAATGTCCAAAATGGAAGACAATCCCCTTTCAATGTGGCACTGGCCACTCCTGAAACTATCAGCAATGTTTTTCATTCTGTTACATGGTACTCCTCAAGGCATCCCTTCTATCTGCTTTCTACTGGCCTGTCCCTTTCCTTGTTCTTCCCTCATAGCAAGGCTATTTTTACTAAGTTTTCTAGTGAAGTGAACTTAAAGTTAATTGGCTCAGTGTGCAAACACTTTGGGGGTTCCACAGTGTCATGAAGGGATGCCCCAAAAATAAAATAACCAAGAGCCTTTTAAAAAGGTTCTCTAATCCTAAACTAGAGCAGGACATGAAAAATAGAAGCTTCTTCCTTCCTTCCTTCCTTCCTTCCTTCCTTCCTTCCTTCCTTCCTTTCTTTCTCTTTCTTTTTTTCTCTTTTCTTTCTTCCTCCCTCCCTCCCTCCCTTTTTTTAAAAAAAAATCCTCTCTCTGGTTCTTATACTGACATTCTGTTACAATTCACAATCCTTTAATTAAATAATTCCTTTATCTATCAGGCCTTACAGTATAAAATAGCTTTTTAAAAATCAGATTAGATGATACTTGCAGACTTCCTTCATTCTCAATGCCTTTAATTATGAAAGATAACAAATTAAAATGTGTCATTTTGCAGGAGGAAAAACCAGGAGTTTTTCATATTCAATTTCGCAGCCATTACTTTTTGCCCAACATAAACATTCATTGATTGTCAATCTGAACAATAATCTCTGGAAAGTAGTATTTAGTGCACGGACAAACCCACATAGACGCTTCAAAAATAAAGGAAGTTCACCCTCTTTCTGTTAGAAATTCACCCCCATAGACCTAACAGTGGTCACCCTATTAAATTTAATAAATTTAATAAATAAATTTAATAAATAAATCTCTTGATATATCAAGAGCACAACCTGTACATGCTTTGAACAGTAACTGCTATATTTGTTCTGTTGTTAAAACATTGTAATTGAAAGCAGATTTCAAACCTAAACAAATTAAATTCACTCCTCAACCCTCCTCAATACCTTTGAGAATAAAGAATATTAATCATTCCTGATCATCAAGGCAGGCTGTAAAGCAAATTATTTAATAACCAATGTTCCAGCCCAGTTTTTCTTGGATCAATGCTCTGAAACAATGACCAAGGGATGTTTTAAGTTTGCCTGTTTTAAAAGTAATGCTTGGTCAAAGGAACTCAATTCTAAACAGTCAGGGACAGCCAGAAATAATATCAATAAGATCACCATGTACTCTTACTGATGAGGTGTTCTTTAATTATCCAAGTTTAAAATAAAACAATCAAAAAACTCTTTCACGCTCTATTGTGTTTGCCTAATCTCTGTCCCCTTAAACTCTTGTCAGAGGGTGACTATTCAACTTTCATAGTGTAAACAGACAAGCAGTAAAATCTCCTTCACCAAGCTGCCAATTACAATAGCCATCTACTAGAGTGTGCAGCAATCTGGATTCAACAGGCAAAGAATGAGTTGGAGAATGCATGGAGATGTGTGGGCACCAGCCTTCAACATCTTAAAATAGCTGTATCTTTTCTTGGGCTTGGAAGGCTACCTTCTGCAACTGTTGTGTAATCCTCCCAAAAGACAAGTTTAGTTTAAAATCTGCCCCTAAAGTGGGTCTTCCAGCAGGGCACTCATTGGTGATGTAACTAAATCTATCCCAACAATAAAATATCTTACACCAATTTTCTCTCTTAATATTCAGAATCAATTTAATGATGCTCTTCCACCAAAATTCCCATTCCCGCATACATATTTCTATAGCCAATAAATTATGCAGTCTTTGATATGTTTAATTCCTAAGTCATATTTCACCAGCAGTTCATAATGAAGGCCCAGCAGATGTTTCAATTAGTGTGTTATTTTCAAATTCCGTCAAATATCTTAAGTATTTTTATTTCTGCAATTTTTTTGAAGAACACCTGGAAGTCCTACCTCTTCTGTAGAGCTACCCAGGCTGTAAGGATGATACAGTTCCCTCTGAAATCTATACTGGACAAGGATGATAGAACCTTCTTGCTCTGAATTTTTTACAGGCGCTTAACCAATGACTTTATTAAAATATTTTCTGAGTTCACTTGGAAATCAAAGCAAACTATAAAAAGGATGAAAAACAAAAAGGTATAATCAGTCTCTAGCAAAATCTGAAAATCACAGAAGTCTGCAACTTCAGTTTAACCTTGATGATAGAGTCTCATCCTTTCTATTAGGCAGCAAGCCCAGAAGAATAAAAAAATATATCCATAAAATTGGTTCTTTTCCCCTTTTCTGTCATACAATTACATCATCCCAGAGGGAAATATGTTCAAGTAATAGGAGAGGTATTCAAAGAAACCAACCCATTTTTGGACTGAAAACTTTTGCAATGAAACAATGAATACATACAGCAAAAGTCAAAAGTTTCCTTGTTCCTCCATGGTTGTAAAAAAAAGGGGGGGGGGGTAAACTAATAGACAATCAACTCATCAGTATTCTACCCATAATTGTCCTTATCTGAATACTTTTTTTTTGTTAGCTTTATTTAATTGATTAACAAAATAGAGAAAATCAATAGGAATTTTTAAAAATGAAAACAAAACCTATTTTTGAGGTTTACCAGAGGTCAGTAAAATCTCTTACATTTGTTTTAATTCTGATTTTATTTTGGCAGGGTCTAAGTGGTAACCAGGTATCATATATTTTATTTTATTTATTTTTATTTATTTATTTGTCAAGCATATATAAGATAACAGGTAAAAGTATAAATATAATTTGAATACATGAGAAGAGTAAGAGTAAAAAGGAATATTATATAAATAACTCAAGGAGCAAACATATGCAACATACCTTCTTGATCCTATTTTCCCCACAACAACAACCCTGTAAAATGGGTTGGGCTGAGAACGAGTGACTGGCTCAAAGACAACCAGCTGGTTTTCATGGTTAAAGCAGGACTTAAACTCACAGTCTCCTGCTTTCTAGCCTGGTGCCTTACTCACTAGAGCAGTGATGGCTAACCTTTTCCAGACCAAGTGCCCAAAGCGTGTGTGTGCGTGCACGAATGCACGTGTGCGTTCCCAAACCACCAAAATGCAATGCATGTACGGGCCCTGTGCATATCCCCCATCCCCATGCATGTGTGCGCCCTCCGCCCATGCGCATGCCCCCCACATACATGCCCCGCCCCCGTGCATGCACGGCAGAGACTGAAAGACCAGCTGGCCGGCAGGAGCCACGCACGCATGCGCAGCGGAGCTGAACTGGGGTGACAGCTCACGTGCCCACAGAGAGGGCTCTGCATGCCACCTCTGGCACGCATGCCATAGGTTCGCCATCACAGCACTAGACCAAACTGACTCTCTCATGTTACCTGAGAGTCTTTCTGGCCTTTGTCCTCTGACAATGTGAAAAAGATATTTTCTAGATTCTAGAAGAACCACTTCTGCCTGCGGAATATATCCTTGCTCCCCTAGCTCCTTTGAATATCAGAAAGGAGGGCAGTTGTTAATGCCTCATTGCAAGAGGGACATTGTCCATGATCCTTAAGGAAACTGTGGTGTAACCCCCTCCTTAAGATGTCTTGTTTGAACTCGGAGGTATTAGATAACTAACATTCAATCTCCATTCTTTTATTTCTAGGAATTCGCTAGGGAGCATCCAAGAAAATGGACTAAATAGATCTTCCCCAGTCAAGATTCAGGTCTGTGTATGGGAAAGAGATGGTATTTGTTTGGGATTGCTACTGTGGGAGTGGATGAGCTGGAATCCTTTTAAACCCCTTGTCTTCTGTATCATCAACAAGATATCTTCAGGAAAGGAGATTGGAGATTGAAAGCATTTTCTGAGGTGATTATACTCCTTCTTCAGATGAGTTTCAGTCACTTGTGGGAAAGGAAGAGGAGTTGGCCCTTATGGGGAAGATCAGTCCACTCCCCCCACTATTTAAGGACTACATAAACCAGTGGGAAAGATCATCTGGCAGTTTTGGGCTTGGCATGATCAGTACAGAAAAAATACCCAACTCATATTATCACCCCAGGCTACTCTAGTGATATTATTTATTTACTGCATGTATATGGCCACCCAATTTAGGCAATGTGATATGGGTGGCCATATAAATGCTTTCTCAAGGGAACTCCTGCTGGAACTGCAGGCAGCAGGAGGGAGCAGGGGCCCTTGACCCAGCTTCTGCGGGTGCACCAGCTGCAATCCTATTGAGAGAAGAGGACCTTGCCACAGTAACTCATGCCCTCATCACCATCTCTTTGGACAATTGTTAACATTCTCCCAGGGTGGATAAAAATCAATCGTTTTTTTAAAAAAAATAAAAAAAATCAGATATTTTTAATTTAAATTGGATTTTTTTGATTTTTTTTGAATTTATTTTAATAAAAAACTTTTGGGATAAAAATCTATCGTAAGATAGTTTTCTATTTAAAATACATAAATAATTTAGTTTATTCAGCATGAAATGGAGCTTAGTTATGTAGCATGAGGCTGTATATTCTGCAACACTGGGACTATCGGTGAGTCAACAGTGGGTCAAAGTAGCAGAGACGACAGTTGCTCTTTAAAAATTATGATTTAAATCGAGTTGATTTAAATCAAGCCTTTTTACTAGTGATTTAAATCATTATTTAAATTGTGATTTAAATCAACTCGATTTAAATCAAATCCACCCTGCATGCTCCACATGGGGCTGTCTTTAAAAGCCACTTGAAAATTCAGCCAGTAAATGCACAGAGCCAAGTAGTTCACTGGCTACAATAGTTTCCACATGCAATTTAAAGTATTGATCTTGGACTATTGACCACTGACAGTCCTTAGGGATTGAGATAGAGTATAAATAGAAAAATAAACAGGAACAGGAAAATATATATGTATACAAAGTTCTATAGTTTCTTCAGTAAAAGACTATACTTCATTGTAATTGTCTATACATAATGTATGTCTGCAAGCAATTAATTCACAAGTTGCATCTCAAATCCACACAGTAATAGGGTTCATAAATCTTTCCTCTCTTAAAAGACTTCTGCCTGATATGCCACATAGCATGGGAGGATCTAAATAAAAATATTAAAACACTAGTCTGTCAGCAATAAGAAAAGTCTCAACTTACCGATATATCTCGAATTCAAGAGAAACACACAGCATAAATGCATTTCATAACAAAACACAAATAAAGCCACTCTTCTCGGCCTACAGTTCTATTATTTCCTGAATTGCAAAAACAAGAGCAGAGGAAGGACAGACACTGGGCTTATGCTGGAAATAAGATGTTACTATAGAATTGCTTGAAAGCAGCAAGCATCAGAGAAAGGAAGTCCCTTCAACCTGAATAACACTCAGACATTTTTTTACAAAAGTAATAGTTTACTGAACATAAAAGTGTGGATAGACAGAAAATATTCACATTTACCCTCTTTCCCCCAAAATAAGATATCCCCTGATAATAAGCCCAATCAGGTTTTTGAGCACATGGCAATAAGGCCAAGCACTTATTTCAGGGTTCAAAAAAATATAAGACAGGGTCTTATTTTCGAGGAAACACGGTATTAATTGTTCACATATAGAACTCTACTAATGGATCAAGCACCCTCTGGGGAGAGGGAGAAACTATATCTCAATACTCCTTTCAGTTCTGTACAATCTCTATAAATCTGCTAAACAACGCTGGGAAACCATCTCCATGGTATAAGAAACAGCACTGGGAGAACTCTCTATTCTGCCATCACAAATTACTTACTGGACTGCAGGAACACTTTTGTTTGTAAAATGGCAACTTAATAAGGTAAAGGAGGTTCCCCTCAGACATATATGCTAGTCGTTCCCAACTCTAGGGGGTGGTGCTCATCTCCGTTTCAAAGCTGAAGAACCAACACTGTCCGAAGACGTCTCTGTGGTCATGTGGCCAGCATGACTAAATGCCAAAGGTGTACGGAATGCTGTTACCTTTCCACCAAAGGTGGTCCCTATTTTTTTATTTACATTTTTATGTGCTTTTGAACTGCTAGGTTGGCAGAAGCTGGGACAAGTAACGGGAACTTACCCTGTTACGCGGCATTAGGGATTCGAACCGCTGAATTGCCGACCTTTCGATCGACAAGCTCAGTGTCTTAGCCACTGAGCCACTATGTATTTTATTTTAAATAAATATTTTAAATATTTTAGCTAATAAATTATCTTTTATATCATATAGATAGTGTTAACCAATTCAGATTTTCCCTATTATTTGAGTTTTAAATAGAAAAGGAAGATCACCCTATGTGTTCTTCAGTTTGAGGTGATTAAAAACTCAACTTACATATATTTATATTGCAACAAGATTTATTTTAAATCCAATATAAGAGACTAATTTTAAATCACTGCTCATATTCCAATGTAAAAATTATAAATTGTTTTTAAAATATTTTACATCTGTTCCATTTCAAAAGTAGTAATAACAATCCACCCAGTTTCATCCCATAAAATTGGCCTTACATAATGTAGTATAACATTATATTATATAACATTATAACACCCTTAGCTTTCATTCTTTAATTTTGTTTGTGACTACTGGAAATGTTGCATGTTAATACAGGTAATTATAATTTAGTAACAGCCTCATTTAGCAACTGCTCACAGTTACAATGGTGATGAAAAAGTAATGTTGACAACTGATCCTTGCATTTGTGACCTTTGCAGGTCTGAAAAGCAAAAGAAGGTTGAAGTAAGCACTCAGACATTTTTTCAATTAGCAACTACTTAGTTTAACAACCAATTTTCTAATCCCAATTGTGGTTGCTAAATGAGGACTATCTCTAATGATTTAGGTGGCTAAGTGTTTTCTACAGTTTGACTTGTCTTTTACTGAAAAGCCGATCAATCCATCTATTTAAGAATCACTCTAATAATTCTGATATATTCATATGTAGTCCCGAAATATCTGATGTATCATCACAATCCCATAATGTATTTGACAAAGTAGGTCTATGAGAATTGTTGAAACAGTCTAATTGCTAAGTGATGTGCTGCAAAGATGTCTTGAATAACATGTTAATTAACAATGCATCATTTATATTTTTGTCTATCTTTTTAGTATCTCTCTATGCATCTCTTTATGCATTCAGAACTGTTTGACAATTGATCATAAAACAGAACAGAGGGCAAACGTCAATACAGGATAAAAAAAAATTAAGAGATTTTTCCACCTATTAGACACCTAAAACCTAAGATTATTAAAAGACAACGTGTTTCATGAATAAATGCAAGTGCCAATATTCTATTTGTATAATATACAAACCAGTAATTTCACTCACATCCTTTCCAATAATAACTTGATTTACAGGATGTTAGCAAAACCATATCCTGGAAACAATGACATAGTTTAAAAGTCCTGAAGGAAGAGTTTAACATTGGATAATAAAATTACTGCCAGGCTCCAACCTTATTTATATTTAGCAGGAGTCAGGTTATCTTGGTTCATAGGACAGATATCAAATAAGGGGAAGAAGCAATGGGATACAGAAAATTTAACTGAAGAGATCACCAACATTCTTCTTGTAAAAAGCATGTAAAAACATGGCATATCAGAATGCACAAAACAAAATATTCATGCTTTACTTGCACTTCTACACAGTGTCACAAAGAAAACTGTACAATGTATAATTCTGGTGTTTTTAGGTATGAGCACATCACAGTAACTGAATATCTTTCCCAACGGCTTCACTGCTACTCTATCTACCAAATGCTAATCTGCAGTCTATTTCTTAATTGCTAGTTCCTTTATTGTTTTAGTCAATTTACCACTTCAATGTCTTCATTGCCAACTGTAAGATACAGGTCACTGTACCTATTGTTACTGGTTTGTTTTAATTTATATTTAATATTATTCTATGTTGGTTCTCTCCTTGATTAGTTTCAATCCATTGCTTCTTGTTCTGACTTTAGAAACTAATCAAAGAGAGAACCACCCTAGAACTAAGGAGAAATTTCCTGACAGTTAGAACAACCTGCCTTCAGAAGTTGTGGGTGCTCAAATACTGGAGGTCTTAAAAAGAGATTGGACAACCATTTGTCTGAAATAGTATAGGGTTTCCTACTTGAGCAGGGGATTGGATTAGAAGACCTTCAAAGTCCCTTCCAACTCTATTATTCTGATATTCTATACTGTTATTCTGTTAATATTAGCCCGTTTCCTTTACCATGATGCCCGATCATTCAGGCTGTGGTTTCATATTCTGCATACAAGTTTCACCTGAAGACACTGTGATGTTCTGGGATTCCCATTTTTTTTTTCAAAACGTCACAAAGTTGACACAATCAAAGGCCTTTCTATACGCAAAATGACTTCTTTTTTATATTCTTCAATTTTCTTAATTAACCAGTATGCCTCAGCAATGATTTCTTGTTGTTCGTTCTTTTCTAAAACTAGCTTGAATATCTGGCATCTCCCTTTCCATGTGGAGTTTAAAGCCACACTGGATGATCCTAAACATGTGAAATTAACAATATTTTATGATAGTTTGACATTGGTATTATTCTGACTTCTTTGAACGTGTTGACCATTATGACACTCTGGATATGCTGGCATTGTTTGATTGGATACTTGACTCTTAAACACTTTTGCTTCTTTTAACACACATTCCACCCGCTTCCGCCCCCGCTTACTATCCACTATCATGCCAATATTTATATATCTTAATATTTCTCTTTATAGAA